TAAATTCCAACGACTGATTTTTCATTGGCAAAGCAACCTTACATCTCCAGGTAAAACCTGAAATGTTCATGCTGTATTAGCTCTTTCATATATCGCTGAAGCTGACTTGATTAATATTTTGTTGACACAGTCTGCATTTTACACATGAAATTATTGGTCTAAAGCTTCCTCATCATGTCTCTGTTGGCATCAAGGAGATGCTGTTGTCATACAAGGGGAGTTATTTTCTGAGAGTTTTTTAGTAAAGGTGATATTTCTTTCTGAAAAGCTTGATATATGTCACAGTGAAGGCATTGAGGCCTAAAGTTTGCTTCATGGGAAGTTTTTCATTAAGAATTTAAATTCCTTTTATTGCAGCCCAATTCATAATTGCCAGGTCATAGAAGAAGCCCAAGTGCCCATTGATCCACGAATGGATCAACAAACCTGTGGTATATGTACACCATGGAATACTATGCAGCCATTAAAAAGGATGGAGACTTTACATCCTTCATGTTCACATGGATGGAGCTGGAGAATGTTCTTCTGAGCAAAGTTATCACGAGAATGGAGGAAAAAGTATCCAATGTACACACCCCTATTATGAAACTAATTTATATCTTTTTATATGAAAGCTATAACCAAATAGCCTAAGAATATGGGGAGGGGGGAGGGAGAAGGGAAGGGAGAATGGGTGGAGGGAGGGGGTTTGGAGGGATCACTTCTGAGGTTTATCTTACAGGGGTACAAGTGAATCTTTCTAAGAGTAGAATGTGAACGTTTTAAAGCAATAACTGAGAAAATGACATGAAGGCTGTGTTGACCAGTTTGATGGAAGTATTTCAGATTGCATGTGAAAACCCCACACTGTACCCCAGAAGTGCATTGATGTACATAGTTACCATTCAAAAAAAAAAAATAATTTAAATTCTTCAGGTGATTGTGACAATTAATGTGTTCTAATCCTTCTAGTGTCAATTTTAGTAATTCGTGTCTTTCAAAACATTAGTCTCTTTCATCTAAGTTGTCCAATTTATTGGAATATAATTTTTCACAATATTCAATCATCATTTTATTATCTGCAGAATCTGTAGTGATGTTTACCTCCTTTGTCACTCATTCTTCTCCTAATCATCCTGATCACAAATTATTAATTTTATTATTAATCTTTTCAAAGAACCAGCTGGTTTCACTGACTTCATGTATTCTTTCTTTCATACTCTATTTCAATGTTATCTACTCTTTATTATTTCCTCTGTTTACTCTGGCTACATTTTGCTTTTCTTTATCTAATAAAGAATTTATATCACTAATTGTAAACCATCCACATTTCTACTACCATGTACAAAAATTGACTGCTTTATAAATAATAACTAGGTAGAGTTAGTTAATAGAATTGTTCAAATCTTCTATATTTTTACCGGGTTTTGTCTACTTGTTCTATCAAATACCAGGACACAAATGTTGACATATCAAACTGCAATAGTTAGGGTTATCTATTTCTATCATTAGTATGTCAGTTTTATTTTAAAGTTATGCTTTGAAATACACTTGCACGTAGGATTATTGTGTATTCCTGGAAGCTTGATCTTTCTATTATTACAAATTGTCCTTTTCCTTTTTCCCTTGAACGTCTCCCTGTTCGATGTTACTACACCCTAACCAGCTTTCCAACCAGTACTGTTGGAGGATTTCTTTTCCTTCATCTTTTTGTTTTAATATCACGCATACTGAATTTCAGTTTCTGATAAAAAGCACGTAGCTGTCATCTTGCTTTCTTATAAAGTTTGACAATCTTCACTTTTAAATGTAGTGTTAAGTACATTCACATTTAATTCTTTTTTTATATTTAATTCTTGGCACAGTGGGTTTAAGTCTACCCAGGTGTTTACTATTCAACTACATGTTTCTTGTCCTCTTCCCCTCCTTTCTTGACACCCCTGCCCCTTTGTTCTGGGTTAAGTATTTTTTAATATTCCATTTTATCCCTCCTGATTTATTATCTACACTGTAAGTTCACAATATGTATGTTTAGCTTATCACAACCTCACTTCATTTTTTTTTGAGACAGAGTCTCACTATGTCACCCTGGGTAGAGTGCTGTGGCATCACAGTAGACCCCACAGTACCTTGGTCTTAAGCAATTCTCTTACCTCAGCCTCCCAAGTAGCTGGGACTACAGGCACCTGCTACAATGCCTGGTTACTTTTTTGTTCCAGTTGTCATTGTTGTTTAGCAGGTTCGGGCCGGGTTGGAACCCACCTGCCTCAGTGTATATGGTCGGCACCCTAACCACTGGACTATGGGGCACTGAGCCCTCACTTCAAATAATATTTAACTCTTTGTTTATAACACAAGAACTTCTATCTCCCTACCCATTTTTGTGTTATATTTTTGTTACATATTTTGTTTGAATATATGCTGTATACTATAGAATCAAATATTATATAATCTCTAAATGTTCAATAGTCTTCTAAAGAAATTAAGAAATGAGGAGCACTCTGGCAGGCTGAGGTGGGTGGATTGCCTGAGCTCACAGGCTGGAGACCAGACTGAGCAATAGTGAGACCCCATCTCTAAAAATTACCCGGGCATTGTGGCGGTACTAGGAAGGCTAAGGCAAGAGAATAACTTGAGCCCAAGAGTTTGAGGTTGTTGTGAGCTATGATGCCACAGCACTCTACTGAAGGTGACAAAGTGAGACTCTGTCTCAAAAAAAAGGAAAAATCAGGAAACTAAATTTTTTATATTTATTCTTTATTTATATTTCCTGGCTTTCAGTTTCCATCTCTGACTGATGAGCTCAGACCAGGCTGGAGGAATAAAAAGGACTATTTCCAATCCATGCCTCAGCCCAGGAAACGCTTCACAAAGGTCCTAAAATTTCAGGGGTGTGGCTTGAAGGATGCACAGAAGTGCTTTCCAGTGGAGGCTGGTGAGTGCTTCACTGGAAGTACAGGCATGTGCAGGGAGCCCACAGAAAAACCACTCCACTCTGCCTAGTCAGGCTCAGGAAAATTTTACAAAAATGGTAACACAGATTACAGGCAAATAGGTATTTTCCAAAAGATTAAATGAAAGAATGATAGCTTAAGAAAGATAACAGCTTAAGAAAAAGATGTGTGCAAAAGCTCCCTGGGATATCCTAGCGATGGTGCGAAATGAAGTGGATTGTGCATGAAGTATGGAATTGAGAAAAACAGAGCAAAAGAGGAAGGTCTAGGTGGGATGTTTAAGTACCTTGAATATCACAGGAGGAACTCTAGATTTTAGCTCATAGGCACTGGGGAAGTCTTCAGCAGGGCTATGGCACAGGAACACTCATATTAAAAGATGACTCAGGACGAGACTAAAGACAGAGCAACAGACTAGACACTCGGTCTATGTGACAATGTGCAGTGGAATGTAGAAGGCATTGGAAAACATTTCAGAGGCTCAATCTACAGGACCTGGTGATCAGTTAGATTTGGGAATAATGGAAAAGGAAAATTAGAAGAAATAAAATAATCCTAAGAGCAAGGAAAAGAAAAGAAAGCAGGGTCCCCAGCCTAGGGGACCCAGATGTGCACACCACCTCCCCTAACAGTCAATGCTTTCCGCCTGTGTCTGCAGCATTTCCCATCTTCAATTGTCATACAGACCTCCAGGGCCCATGATGTGAAAGCCAGATATCAATAGAAGAAAAAAAACACTCAGTGACTGCCTGTCCACTTCCAGGAATTATTTATATGGGCACTGGCAGCCGGAGATGAGGGGATGAGAAAGAAACACCCCAGGTTCACGATGGAGCAAGTCTGACACACAGAGAAGGCCTGAAACACTCTGACTCTGCCTGGCAGCAGTCCTGGCCAGACCTTCCCCAGGGGCAAGGGCTTTAATGCTTTATACAAATGCACAATAGAGGTGAGCCTTGGCAGGAAAGGCTCCTACTCTAGGACAAGTGATAGATGATGGAATGTGATGCTAAAAGGCCCAGACGAGCTGTTACTTCTTGCTGAAGGCATTCTCCAATGGCTGGGAAGAAACTAAAACCACACTCATTACGTGGAGTCGTATCACTGTAAAGGGACTTTGATCTCGACATTAACACACCTTTATGCTGGGGCTGCTGCCTTCAGGGCAGCCGTGTGTGGCATCGCTGCTACCATAACTCCATTAGGAGTCAACACCAACCAGCCGCTCCACCCCCAGGAGCAAAGCCCTGATGAACAAAAACTCAGGGAAGGACTCCATGGGACAGTCCCTGCTTCCCAAAGGCTGCTGGCTCCAGGGTAGGAATCTGGGCTGCAGAAGGGGTCTCACTGGCTGCAGCCCCACTCGGAGCTCTCAGACCCCATTAGTCCCACTTCACCAGAAATCAAATTTTGGGAGGAGAAACGGTCATTCTCCCACCTCAAAGAAGGTGAATATCTTTATTCACCTCAAAGAAGAACAAGAATACCCTTATTATTTCTTGCTTCTTCCGGTTTTGAAATAGACAAAGGGTCCAGTTTCCTTCTCCTGAAGGAAGACTAGGCCTAGAAGAGCATTCTGGGAAGGAAGCCTTTGTAGGAGAAGGGTTCTGCCTCAGAATAACCTGATGCTCCAAAGGGCTGTGGGCTACAGGAGACGCTGGACAGCCAGGCACCCGTCTTACTGGGATGCCAGGAGTGACACAGTAGGAGATGTCAGACTCCTCCAGGAGTTAGACATGTGGCTTTCTACTGAACCCCCTGCTAACCGGAGAGGCAAGCCAGGCTGCTCAGGCCCGTGACTGCACACGAGGCCCACACAGGGGGCTCTGCAGACCTTACTGAGCTATTCCAGCATGCCACGCGGTGGAAAGCCCACTCGCTTGCACCTACCTGAAGGCACAGTTCTGATATAAGGCCTGTCTTTCTAATGAAGAACTGAAATTGAAGAAGAGTAAAAAACGTGGTATAATGGCACAGACAGAGGCAGGACCAAAGCCCACACTAATTTCAGTGTTCCAAACTCAGCAGACTATGTCCAGCTCTAGAATAAGGCAGTGGGGAATTTACCTGGTTGCTGGGAGTGTACTGACGCGGGTGAAAAATACAGACGGCTCCACTTCGACGTGTAGCCCCATGGACAGGTTCCTATAATAGCCTTCAACGTGGCCGGGGCCTCCAGAGTACTTGAAATTCAGGATAGCTTCCAGGGTCTAAAGAGATGTGAAAAAGGATAAGTTAGTACTCCCTATGTTGACCAACACCCCTTGCCAGGAGGCAGGCTTCACTAAGAAGCGTCCGTGTGTAATCCCCACTGCTAACACTGTAGCATCAGGCACCTCTCACTGACTCTCCTCCCAGCTGAGACCTGGCACCTGATACCTCACACCATCTTCCCTGAGATGCCTCAATATATACACAACAATTCTCAGCCTGGACATGCAAATGGAAAGGGGTTCTAAAGTTTATTCTGTGGTTGAATACAGCATTTTAAAGAGAAAGACACAGCTCAGTGGGCATCACTTAGATACACAGATCAGAGGAGGTACAGAAAGGGAGTATTTGTGTCAAGGAGGTAGAACATGGCTGCACCCTAACATTGAGTACATGAGGACAAACTCCACATCCACAAGGCTTCCCTGAAGGTGTCCACGACAAGAGGTCACAGGGCAACCAGGACCCTTCCACAAGGGGCAAGATGCCACATGTGCTCCCCTTGCAGCAGAGCAAGGGGTAAGGAGCCACTCCAGGGTAATGAATTGCTAAAGGCTGGGTAGGACCCCTGAGCCCAGGCAGGAAAGCAGTTCCCGGGTACGCCCAGGATCCCCTCCATGGGTCTCCACCGGGTGCTTACACAAAGGACTGCTGGGAGGACAGGACAGCAGAGACACTCTCCACTCCAGGGTAGGCTGGGCAGAGAGAAGAGGGCCAGCCACCCCTATGGGAGAGGTAAGAAACTGAGCCCTGAGTCCAGTGCCCCACAGTGAATCTCCTCCAGAGGAGGCAGCCCTGAGCCAGGATACCACACCACCGCCATCAGAGGTCCTACCACTGGGTCAGGGATGAGAAATTGCTCACACGCAGTACCCACCAGGCTACGGGGCAGAACCCCACTGCTGTGGGCATTGGGCAGCAATGCCAAGAAGGCCCTACCGGAGCCCCAGTCCCACAGGCCTACCTGCCTGGGGCTGAGGAGACGTGAGGATGGCGGGGGCCCATCCACCCTGCTAGGGCCCTCACAGCCCCACGGGGAAGGGGGAGGTGTGGAGAAACCTAGCCAGGGGCCGGCACACAAGAGGGCCGGTTGCTGAGCAGGGAGGGGAGTACAAAGAAACCCTGTATCTTCACCAGAGGATTCTAGAGCCTGGGGACACCAAAAGTAACCATAGCAACAAGAAATCCAAGCACAGCTCGACTCCTGCCTGCTCCACTCTGCCTTCCACAGCAATGTCCTACAACAGGCCTCACAAGCTATGACCTCTGGGCCAAACCTGGTTCGCAGCCTCTCTCCTAGTCTAAGAGCTAAGAACAGTTTTTACATTTTTTAAAAGGCTGTAAAACAAAACAAGACAAGACAAAAACAGAGAAGAACATGCACAGAAATCATATGTGGTTGGCAAAGCCTAAAGTATTTCCTATACAGCCTTTTACATTAAAAAAAATTACCCATAAAACTCTTAAAAGAGGCCAAGTGTGGTGGCTCCTGCCTTTCATCTTAGCACTTTGGAAGCCCAAGGCAGGAGGATCGTAGCAGGCAGGTATTTAAGACCAGCCTGAGCACCACAGAGAGAAACCCCCCCAGCCCTCCCAGCCGCCTCTACCAAAAACATGGTACATCCGTGTAGCTCAGGCAGGGGGGTCACTCCAGCCCAGGAGTTGGAGGTTGCAATGAGCTATGATGACGCCACCGCATACCAGCCTAGTCAACAAACAGAGCAAGACCCCTGTCTCAAAAAAAGGGGAGAAAATATAGGAGTAAATCTTTAAGACCTTGGATTAGGCAATGGTTTTATAGATAAGACACAAAAAGTGCCAGCAATAAGCAAAAAAATAAAAGGATACTACTGTAGAAATTTGAGAAGGGCAGAGCTTCAATAGGAAGGGTCAGGTGTGTCCACTGCTGCAGGCAATCACAGCAAATGAGAGATCTGGCACTGACTGTGCCCAGTCGGGGCCCAAAGCCGTGTGCTAAGTGCAGAAGTAAGCACACTCTCTCACTTGATGAAAGCAACCAAAGCCATGTTTCCAAAAGGTTAAGACAGGGCTCCTGCCTTCCTCCCTGCCTCCCTAAACTTCAAAAGTCTCATTTCCAGAAGCCTTCCTGACAAGTTGCATTTAGCCCTTGGTTACTGCTTTTGTTGACAACCTATTTTCCTTTCCAATGAGGAGGAGTCACAGCTACAGAATTTTTAAACAATAAAGGACACAGCCTGTTTGTGTCTGGTGTCAGTCCAGAGTAAGCTCAGGAGAGTGCATCCCTGGGGGAGAGCAGCAGTCACACTTGGCAGCCAGCAGGGCAGAGGGAGAGTGGGGGCAGTGCCAGGTCAACCTGGCTTGCCACTCTGGCTCCATGCAACCTTGGGCACTCACCTCGCCCATCTCAGCCTCAATTTCTCCACTGTTAAATGGGAACAACAATTAACACAATCTCACCAGACTTTAGTGAGGACTCCATGAGAAAACGCAGTAACAGAACAAGTGCTTGCTTACTCAACAAACTCCTTTCTCCCTCTGAAACTCTGTGCATCTGATAGCCTGGGTAACAGTGCTTAGAAGAGGAGGAAATGGATTTCAGCCCTATTTCCTCTATTTATTTTTCTTTCTTTCTATTGTGATAAAATATAATAATACAGAAGTTACCATGTGACCTGGATTTAAACAGCTCTGTGGTGTGAAGTGCACCCATACTATGGAGTAGCCATCACTGTCATCTGTCTGTCGAACGGCTTCTCCTTCCCAAACTGGAACTTGGAACCCATCAAGCAGTAACTCCTGCTCCCCTCTCCCCCGCCCCGGCAACCTTTCTACTTTTTGTCTCCATAGACTTGACTGCTCTAGGAGCCTCATGTAAATGTTGTCACGCAAAATGTGTCCTCCTGTGACTGGCTGATCTCACTCTAGGGTAAGGTCCCTGTTGCAGCACATGCCAGAGTTTCCTCTTTTGTAAGGTTGAGTGAGACCCCGTCCTGTGAGATAGCACATTTTATTTGTCCTTTCATCCATCACAACACTTGGATGGCTTCCCTGCTCTGGCTATTGCGGCTAGTGCTGCTATGAAGACAGAGTGTATGAGGACCAGGCCCTGTTTGCTCACTGGAGTAAACACCCAGAAGCGGGTTTCTGAACTGTGTGACTGTTCCACACCAAGTTTGTCTGAGGACTCACCACACCATGTGCCACAGCAGCTGCACCACTCTAGGTCCTATCTGCCCCCTCCTCACCAAATGCCAGTCACTTTCTGTGTGTGACTCTAGGTTCCCGCAGTGCGGAGGGTCCTATCTGCCCCCTCCTCACCAAACGCCCGTCACTTTCTGTGTGTGACTCTAGGTTCCCGTAGTGCGGAGGGTCCTATCTGCCCCCTCCTCACCAAATGCCAGTCACTTTCTGTGTGTGACTCTAGGTTCCCGTAGTGCAGAGGGTCCCATCTGCCCCCTCCTCACCAAAT